GCCACCCCTCAGTGTACATTGGTTATTACCTGCCTGGCCACCCTTATAAAAAATTTCTGGCTACGCCTCTGAAGCTAAAGATCAAACTGGATGGCAAGAATCTGTGTAGATCCATTTCCACCCCACCGATTCTGTTGATTGGACGGTAATCTGGTCAGTCTCCTAATGGCTGTTAAACCTTTGACCCAAGTGATCTCCAGCCTCCATCAGGTTGTTTTATAGCATTACATAATATTTGGATGCACCCATCTTCTGTTCAAAGTCCTTGCTGAAGAACAGCATCCCCACAGCACCATTCTGCCACCACTGTGTTAAACCTGTGTTTGGGGTGATGTGTAGTGTGCACCTAGTGTTTTTGCATTAAAGCTAGGAGGACTTTAGTGTCATTTGACCACATCACCATCTAATTTTCTAACTTGCTTTTTTCATCTTTGCGGATTTAGCAAAACTAGAAGGGACTTTGTTTTTGTTTTTAAGGAGCCTTCTACTTTCCGCTGTTGCATGAGACCAGAATTGTGGAGTAACTGGCCAATAGTCGATCTGTCAATTCAATTTTCAGCAGCTTCCATAAACCTATTGACATTTGCTGATCCTCTGGTTAATGCTCTCCTTCTTAAGTCTGAACGCCTTGTTCTGGTAGGCTTCTCATTTGGCAGTGCTTTTTTTAAGGTTTTTTTTATAGCAGTCCCAAGAATGCAAAAACAAATGCACATAACATTTTTATCATTTTTATTTAAAAAAAAAATGTTTCTTTAATTTCGCTACTTTGTGTTCAACTGTAACTTAAAATCCTTATAGAATACACAGATGTAAAAAGGTTGAGGTATTACTTGCAAGGCATATTTGTATCGGTTCAGCTTTCATGAGCTAAAAGTAGCCTTTTTCTACTCAGATGACTTCCTTTATAGGCTGTGTGAAAATTGACGACATGACCCAGAATTTAGATCTTAGGTTTCATTCCTCCTCTGCAGCGCCACGTTTCACAGGTTTTTACTTTTGGAGAAATAGAAGTCGATGCCTCTGTCTCTGTGCTGTTTGGGATGGTGCGACGGGCCTTTCTTTCCTTTTGGTGATGGTCCTGCACCGCTCTGAGGAAAAAAAAAAGGTCAACAATTAATATTCTTTAGGGTGAAAGTTATTAACAGTTCATACATGATTAAAATCTAGCTAAAGTGTTTGATTGCAATTTACGGTTAGTTTGCACATATCACAACTTCCATATGATAACTAGGAGCTCTGGCATTGCACCATGTCAAATAACAAATTAGCGATATTAATTGATAAAAACCATAAAAAATGTAGATTATCAAACATTACTATTTTCTTTCCAATTACTGTCTTACTAAGCACATGTGCTCCCTCACTATTGTTTGCAACTGTTATCAACAGAAGTGTCTTTCCCGCCTGGTTTTCACTTCCTCTTTCTAAGAAACCCGTACCGGTTTCTTGCCAAAATGTCGGCTCCATTCAGGCGCAGTGACCATGGGGGTTGGGTAGGTCTCACCGAGCGACACTCCAGCGTGTGACAGTGAAGCTGAGCTCAGGTTCCAGGGTGTGTGAACGTCAGGGCCCCTGATAGCACCTAACTCTGGGACCCACCGTCTCACGTACTCCCCCTAAAGAACAGCCATTAGAAACAGGTTATGCATTGTCAGATAAAACCTGCTTTCCTCACACTTTGATTTGCTTCTGATTATGACGCAAAGTGTGACACAATTTGCAATCACACAGATCACTGAAAAAAAGAAAAGAAAAAAAAAAAGGCTAAAGGAGATAGAACTTCTTTTGAAACCTACATTGTTGTCATAGTCGAGGGCTTGTTTGATCATGTTGAACTTCCTGTTCTCTCTGGGGTCATTTCCTATACCAGCGCTGTAGAGCCAGTTCCCATAATTGCTGCAGACATCATGATCGATCTTATAGAGAAAATCAAACCAAAGTAAAAATACATAGCAGAAATATTCAAAAATCTGTGCAAAAAGTGTATATATACACATATATATATATATATATATATATATATAAATGAAACATTGTGGTCTGATTAACTAACTGATACGTCACAACGTACCAGCAGGTATTCAAACCACTCAGCTCCCAGTCTCCAGTCAAGGCCCAGATCCTTTGTGAGGAAGCTTGCAACATTCTGGCGCCCCCTGTTGGACATGAAGCCCGTCAGCGCAAGTTCTCTCATGTTTGCATCAACAAAAGGTACGCCTGTCCGTCCCTCTGCAAGTGGGAAAAGAAACACACAAAAAGAAGAGAAAGATACAAACACCGTTTAAAAGATCTTCAACATACTTAAATATTATAAACAATATGTTAAGAACTCAAACCTTTCCATGCATCAAACAGCTTTGTGTCCATCTTCCATGGAACTGACTTTCCTTGAAGCCCTAAAATCAAATTAAAATGAAGTATTTTCAAATTTAGGGCCCATATTTACTAAATTATTAAACAGACTTAAATTTGTTTCCATTTCACCTTTCAGCTGAAACATTTTGTTTCCATATTTAACTCCCACAAACTTGAAGTAGTCCCTCCACAAAAGCTCAAAAATGACCCTGCAAAAGAACAAGAAAAAACAAGATAGTCAAAGCATCCTGACTGGATTGTATGTGGGGTGATACACAGCGCCTTGCAAAAGTATCCTCTAAACTTTAAAAATGTTTTTCACATCGCTGTGACATAAAATCCAGCCAGCTTTATTCTGATATTAAGCAACTCTGGAGGAGCTAGAGAGAAACCCAAGGCTAATAGAAAAGCTGTTAATGTGTCTTAGTTAACCTCGTAAATCAGGTGTCTTACTTATAAAGCTTGTGTATGCACAATAAAACAAGGCCTGCAGCTTGCATTAACATACATTTTAGAGGAAGGACAAATGGCAACACAGACAGGGGGGGACTAAAGGAAGGAAGTAAGAAAGGTCTTGATTGGGCTCAGATATTCAGTTTAATACCTTAATACGTTTTTTAGTGATGGACTCTGCAGAAAGTTGCCGACCTCTTCACACCATGCCGTTCAGCATGTGCTCCATCAGTTTATGTGGCCTACCTACCACAAGGCTGAGCGGCTGTCATTCCCAAACACTTTTATTTTCTTATTATGCAGCCAAGAGCTAAATGCGGAATAATTATGGGCGAGGAAATTTCACAACTGGATTTGTTGAACAGGTGGCATACTATCAAAGTTCCTCGCTGGAATTCATTGAGCTCCTAAGCGCGAGCCATTTGTTCACAAATGTTTGCAACAACAGGCTGCCTGCTGAGGTGCTTGCTTTTATAAAGCCGTGTCCATGGAAGTGATTGGAACAGCTGATTGCAATAATTTGGATGCGTGAAAAAATACTGTTGGAAATATGGTGTATAATTTGACACAGGATAAATGAGAACCTGTAACGCGCAGAAAAAACAGCCTCTAAGCTAGGCCAGACATTGGAAATGGGAATAAAAAGGCCAGGTCACACTGTCTGCATCTGACTCTGCAAGCTAATAGTGTTTATAAAGAGGCTCCTGCTACTTATAGGTTTAGGGGATTCTGATCTGTGGCATATTTTACCCCTCAGACCCACAAATTGAAAGCATGTCCTGCATTTCACTGGGTCTGATTTTAACAAAGAGAAAATAAATAAATCCGATATTCATATACATACACACAAATAAAATTATTCCAGAATTTCCCAGAAGGAGTAATCCTGAGAGATAAATCAAGTTGAGTCTAAGACCAAGTCTATATGCATAAACTCTCATTTCAATAAATAGATATCACAAAGTGCTGCTTTTCTCCATCTTGGGCTTTTTTTTTCTTCTTTTTCTTATTAGATGTGTAGAGCACAGACACAAGGTGCTTCCTGGTCACCAGCTCCTACCAGCGCCCTCTACAGGAATTAAGCAGAATCCTCCATTAATGAACTTCCTGCCTGAAACCATTTTTTAAGGAAAAAATAGTTCTTTAAATTCATCTTTAAATCTGACATATCAAAGACTGGGAAAAATATTAATTAAGTCTTCAAAGCCATTGTTAACACAATGAGTCCCACGTTTTTCTGCTCACAATACTTCCTCCTAAAGCTGAAACAATTAATCAGATTAATCGATTATTGAAATAATGGTCAACTAATTTAGTAATTGATCCATCGTTAACTGGAGGGCAGAGACTCCGAAACATGCCTTTAGCTGACAGAGCAAGTCGCTTAGAGCAGCTATCATACAGGAATTGCAACAGAAAAAATATATAAAGATTTGGCTTTTAAGATGAAAAAGTTTTTTTGTCTGTCAATATTCTCAATCCAGAACTCCACAAATGAAACAGTTTTAGTTTCACCTGGTTTAATTTCTTAAAAAGTCTTCTTTAAGGATCCTTTGGCTATCAGATTATTAATTGATTAATCAAAACAAAAATCAACAGATTAATTGATTCACACAATAATCGTTAGTTGCAGCCTTAATAATTCCTTTCATTTCTTTTTTTTGCCACTACTGTAGCTACCCAACATATTTATCCTCTTCTTAATCTCACTTATTATTACATCTATTGCCCCCTCAGTTAAACTACCCCCCTTGAAAAATGAAAAAATGTTGATCTGCTGTTTATTAAAAAAAAAAAAAAACTATGATTTTTAGGAAGGGTTCCACTTTATGGCTAAATGTGGACACAAACAAGATGAGGAACCTTGAAGTACAGCTGTGGTAAATTGCATGCTGGGCAGCAGCATGCTCATAGTTTTATAGATGTACTTTTACATGCCATTTCCTCATTTTGTGGTAAGATACACTTTTAGTAGCTATTCTACTGAAATCTATCTACTCTCTATCAGGAGTAAAAGCTGTTGTTGAAAGAAAGTCAGAAGACCTGCTTGGTATTCAACACAGGTTATGTGGGGGAAACAGGAAGAAATTAAGATTAAGTTCTGTTTAGGAAGATTCCCTGAAAACAACTGCTATGTTAAGACATGGGGATGGATGCAGCATGATGTGGGGTTACTTTATCAAAGTCTGTGGCTGTATTTTTGTAAAAGTTTAAACACTCTGAATACTTTTGCAAGGTACTGCATCAGAATATTATGATTTAAGTGTGAATACTGACCAGTAGGTGCTCTGATTGGCTGTCCGCTCCCGCTCGTACTTTTTGATCTGATGGTAAATGTACCGCGGAGAAATGCATCCCAAAGCCAGCCTGCATAGCACCGAGGTGGGATCATTAGAAACACATTAGAGAAGCAAAAAGGAGTAAATGAAAACCATCAGAGATGAAGGAGCAGTGAAAACTATTTAAAAAACTCACCATGGTGAAAACTTAGTGGAGTAATCCACTCCGATCAACCCGTTACGAGTCTCTTTGTAAGTCGCCACTGCATCCTACAAAAAAAAAAGGCAAGAACCATTATGTTACTTCCAAATTTTAACTGCGATACACAGAAAAGCGGTTTGTATTTTCCCCCAATGAATGTTGTACTCACAGTGTCCCAGAAATAGTGCTGGAGTCTTGCAAGGACGCTGCTTTCTCCTCCAGCGCATGGGAAAGCTGAGCGAGGGTCACTCACAGGCTCTGGATGATTAAACAGCAAGTCCATTTGATTATCAGAAACAATTCTCTAATGTAAATAAATAAAAAAGCTGTCCCACACCCTCTCAATAAAGAGAGTCACACTCAGCAGTTTGTGTACTGATTACATATATATAATACAGAGCATTATTCACCGGTCTGCTGAAGGTCCTCTGCTGTGGGAATAGCTCCTTCTTCCAACCCCGGGGGAAGAGGATTCAGCCTCTCAGGGGTTGGCAGCACAGGCCTCACCCTGCTCTTACTCTCCACCGCTTTTCTGAACTCTGTGTAGACATCAGGTAGCCTGCAACCGTGGGCGACACACATTTCTACAACGTCTTTCAACACCAGGAACGTCTCAATTAATCGAAGTCATCTCATTACCACCGACTCACACCTGGATATATGTGGAAACGGTAGATCCTCTCTGTGGTACAGCGTGGAGCCCCAACAGGTGTGAACTTGCACCTTTAGCTGAGCACAGACTTCCTTCACCTTTTTCTCCACATTCAGCTCTTCTGAAGCAACCTGGGATTGAACACATGAAAGAAAAGAAAAAAGGTTTTATACAAAAATCTTACTAAATTCTTCAATGCTTATAATCCTATGGTGACATTTGGTCATATTGCAACTACAACTTTTATTGTGTTTACTTAGGAATTTACATAAATAGATCTACAGAAAATTGTAGAAATAGTAGAAAAAGAACACATAATTTTATATTTAATTGATCAATATCTCATGGTCGATAATCGATATTATTATACATCTTCCAACACTTTGTGAACACTGTGAAAACAGCCCAATCCTACACTGGATCTTTCTCACTTCCCCTCCTGAAACAAAAATGGCGACTATGGCGTTGACTAACCATCTTTTTGCTAATCGATGAATGTGTTGATTATTGCTTTTTATAAAAAAATCGGATAGGGAAAGGTTGCTTAAAATTTTTTTTTTACAGAATTCAACCAGGTGAAACTAAAACTTCTCTACTTGAGTAGTTCTGGATAGAGCACAATGATGGACAAATAGTTTTTATCTTAAATGCAAAATGTTTATCTATTTTCTTATAATCTTTGGTATAATTTTTGCCCTTAGTGGATTTCCCTGTCAGCTAAAAGCATATTTTAGAGTCTCCAGTAAACGATTAATCAATTGCTAAATTAGTTGATGATTATTTCAATAATACATTTATCATGATTAATCTGATTAATTGTTTCAGCCCTAATGGCCGCTACATGGAAACATGATATTTTTAAAAATGACCACCATTGGTCGATGAAGTTAATGCTGCATGCCAATTACCTTTATTGTTCTATTTGGAAAAGTTAAGCCCAAGCTTTCCATATCTAGACTAAATAATTGTTGCTCATTCTTCTTTAAGAATAATTATCTCTGCAAAGCGCTTTCTCCGTTTTGCAACAGGTTTTCTAACTGATCTAGGTCTGGACTTCCAACTCATGTATAAGTTTTCTTCTCATCAACCCATCGAACCTCTGACTGTTAGCTAGAAGGTCAATCTCTGCCTTCGCCTTCAGTCTATTTCAGCTTTTAACAGGTTTTGTTATCCAGTGAATCTTCTCTGTCCCCTGCTGAAGAGGGGCTCCCTTACAGCCCGATGCTGCTACCACCACCGTGTTTCATAATAGGGGTGTGTTCAAGGCAAGTTTTTTTCCTCAACACTTAAGATCCCTTTGCTGCTTCTCTGAATAAAGCTCTCCTTGCTTTGCTAGGAGAAGCTACAGCTAAACACCTACAATTAACAGCTTTCTATGTGTAAAAGAAAATATACAAAATCATGTATTATTCTAATTTCACCACATAATCATGCAAAACTTAATGTTGGTCTGCAAAATAAATAAATAAAATTAAATAAAATACACAGAATACCTCTTCATGGAAAGCCACACTGCTAACGGAGCCGAGCTGCTTGATGAGGTCAGCGACCACCTCCTCCGGTTTACCCTTCCTCACCACCAGATTGCTGTCACACACACAGACACACATACAAAATAAAATAAACAAGCAGACCCACACATGGCATAATGCCACACAGCTGCATCCTGGGCAGAGGGGCGAATGGATGGAAAAAAGTGATGGGAACAATGTGTGCAGCAGCAATGCTAGACCCAGGTGTATCCTGATCCTGTTCAAAATGTGTCAGGGCAATCCTAGAAAGCCAAGAACATTTTCTGCACATTTTACAGCTTAGAATGACTTAAAGAAACCTGGGGTCTAGTAAACAGTGTTTATTATCTCAGAGTTCTCAGTCGTTTTATAAATATACAATACTGAAGTTCAAAATGAATATCTGGCAGATATTTCTAGAGTGTGCAGGTGTTTAATGTGAATGAGGAAAAAAGAGGTAGAGCACATGGAAGGAATGAAAGGATGAAAGGGAGACGAGGTGTGAAGTTAATAAGAACAGCAGACAGAAAGGAGCAACATTTAAGGTAAAAACCAAGGATGGAAGTGAAGAGGAAGGGACTAAAGGAAGGGCAAAATGAAGAAAGCATCACAGGAAGGAAGAAACTGAAGAAAAAAAAAAGGGAAGACCAACCTTCCCTTGCTGAGCAGCGTGTTTCTAAGGTCTCTGACGCTCTCCAGCAAGAAGCGCAGGCGGAAAGGCCCAGTCTTTGGCAGGTTGAAGTTATACGTTCCCACATAATGTCTCGGGTCAAAGCAGTACAGAGGGACTATATGCTCCGAGTTTCTCTGAGCCCAGTGGAAAAGCTGCAATTAAAGAGCACAGTCTCAGGATTAATACACATCTCTGGGTAGACTGAACTAAACACAGTGAAAACATAGTTGAATATTAAATAATGTATTTTGTGTTTAAAAACATGAAATCTAACAATTTTTCTATAATTTTCCAACAAAATCACTTATTGGATAGAGGACTATGCCCCACTTTAGAGGAAGAAAGACTTTACCTGCTGGAAAATTTTCACAGTCTTTATAAAGACCCCAAACATAAAGTCATCTCCATGGAATCTATAGAGATGCACATGAATACTCTCAAAGAAACTTTCTAAACTATATTGGGAAAGCTGCAAACAGCATGTTAGCTGCTGACTAGATGCAGACTACTTGAGTTGAAAGCCGTTAAATTAACCAAGCTAATGCCAGCTTATTATTCTCCCAGTGCTGATCTGTAAAGAACAACATCCATACAACCATGCCAATAACTATTAAACACAACGGGCATGTTTTTGGACTGTGGGAATAAAGCTGGAGCCAGGAGAGACGCCTCACACAGAGGGACAAAATCCAAAATAAAATAAAAAAAACAAAAGAAAAAAACAAAAAAACACTGCAGGATTCATACACCAACAGAACAGCAAAATAAAACGTTTAAAGATTCTGCCATTTTCACCTGAAAACTACTATTACATATAGAAGCAGAGGTGGTTTGTACTCCGATATATTTACATTAAAAACATTTTGAAAAAATATTTACTCTTAGAAGTAGTATTACTGTAAAGTACTTCTCAATTTTACTTAAGTAGTATTAATGTGTAGTATCACTTCTCCTGCTTGAGTAACTCGGGTGAAAAAGCAAAAAGACATAGTGTCAATGGAAATTCTCCACCCTCTTCCTAACAAATGTACAATTCTCGCTGCAAGGATTGGTTTAATTAGTTTTATGTTGTTTCTTTAGTAAGAATTGGTATTTTTGTAATAATTTTATTCACTTATACCTTTTCAGTTTATTTTAGTCTTTAAAATACCAGAACCTTCACATAACACCTGTCTGACTACATAGTTTCTACACATTAACTATGTGTGTAACATGATTCAGTAGCCTATTTTTACCAAACACTTTTAATCTTACTTGTACGGAAGAGGATTAGGGCCACTGAAAAAATAAAGTTAACTGATTTTTAAATATTATTTCAGTTTAATATGGGGAAAAAAGTCAGAATTCTGACTTTAATCTAGCCTTTTTTTAGATCCAAAATTCCAAGATTAAAGTCAGAATTCAGAAAAAAAAGTGAGAATTCAGAGATTAAAGTTCAGAATTCCCATTAAATTAAATAAAAATTTAAAAATAAACTTTTTTTGTTATTTCAGTTGACCCTAATCCTCTTTCGTATACTTAAGTAATTTCTTGAAATATTTATTTTTACTTATACTTGAGTAAAAAAAAAAATATATATAAATAAATATATATATACACACACACGTTTAAGTAGTGCTATTCTTGCTTTGGGTACTCTATACACATCTGCTTGTTTGATATAATATTTTAGTTTGGGAGTGTTAAATTTAAACATATTGAATGTTCTCTACTAAGAGACAAACATAAAGGAGTTTTTTTTTTATTTTTTTATTGTTGAAATGTCAAACTAAGGGCTTTTATTTTTTATTTTAAGAGGAAGCTTTTATTCTGAAGGAAATGGTCCCCCGGAAGTAAACAATTTAACTCCTTGTGTAATTTGAAGCGCTTTAAATAGTAATACTTTCTCAATTCACCTTTAAATAAAGCGGTTGTGCAACAAAATGATCCCAAACTAAAAATAGTAGCTAGGATTTAATTTACCATCTCCGTAAAACAAAGCCTGAAAATGTAAACATTTGATTCCATGTTTATGTTCTTACCTCGTTGTCATGAAGGCGCAGGTCGTTCCTTAGCAAACAAATTACTGTGCGAGAGGCTGACATTGCAGTTAGCTAACAGAAGAGCACAAGTCTCATGTGAAAAATATGAAAGCTGTAGTGAGAAGTGGTGAGCTTGTCTATATGTGGCTGCTCCTGTTCTTCTGCTGCTGGTGATGCGTTCAGGGTCACGTTTCAAGGCACGTTGTTACAAAACCTCAGCTTTTATAAGAAGGTTTCCTAACAGCTACATGGCGCCAGTTGTAATTAAACTTTACTTTGAGTTTCAAAAGATTAAGATTTGATTTTTATTTTGTTTGTTGTTTTTATTTGCATTCGCTCATTTGTTTCTATATGGTTAATGAAAATATATATATGAAAGAAAATACATATAAAATATGTTGAACTTGAATTTTTTTTTTTCTATTCACCGAGATAGGTTTTTATTATGGTTTAAGCAGTATTTTATTTTTCCTCAGCTGAAGTTGAACATTTTGTGATAATGATAAGGAAACTACTGACCATCTGTTTTTCAGGGGCAGAGCTAGAAAAAGAATACATGGGTGGCCAGGAAAGGAACTAAAGGGTGGCTGAAATCTGATACCAGTTTAGGGTCAGTCTGCACTAACCACACTGTACTAACTGGAAAATGAATGAAAAACATCTGTATTTTCCAAATAAATCAGTAGGAACAGATCGGATTTGAAATGAAGCCCTTGATAACAAATCTACACATTTATACGTTATGTAAATTGGTTAAGGTTTGCCAAAATACACACATGGTTGATCTTTACCTCTAATTTGATAGAAAAGCTTTCCCTCCTCTATAAAGCACAAAGCCTAATTATGAAAATAGCATTTATGTTTCTGTCTTATTTAGTAGGTTGAATAATTAATTACCACTTCCACCGTTTTTAGACAACTTCTTGTTTTCCTCTAAGACATAGGTAGTAAATAGGTGTGTAGAAAAAAATCGATTTGGTGATATATCGATCTTTCAATTCCAAATATCTATAAAAAAACAAAACATTTTTACCTCAAACAATGAGGGGAAATTGGGCTAATTCTGCACTGCCACTGGCAGATAGTGCAGGGAGCCCTTTTGCTGTGCGGCAGAGCATCATATGTGAAGTTGAGGCCGTCAGAGTGATGAACATATACAGCACTTGCTTTTTTATTTATACATTTAATTTTGAAAGCTAGGAAAAATATAGCAATATATAGTGATATTGCAATATCGTGATAATATTGTGTTGTTACCCAAGTATCGTAACACGTATCTGATCGCATCAACCCTAGTGTTAAAGTAAGTTCTAATGGTAATTATGGCCCAATCCCAAACCGGCCCCTAAGCACTTCCATCTTTCCAAAGATGCAGCAAACTAGCTTCAATCTGTGCACTCCATTCCAAAATGGAAGGTCCTCTGTGAAATAGTTTATTTGACCATATACATTTGTTTTAGGAAAGGGGCAAGTGATTAATGCTATGTGAATCTGCGCCACAGAGCTACAGCCACACACGGGGAGTCGCTGTGTTGCCATAGCAATGACTTGTTTCCTTTTCCGTTTGAGGAAAGAGGCCGTCCCATTCTCATTTATACCCCCCCACCTTCAATCAAGGTGCCTTCCACAGCTTAGGTAGGGTAGGGCTTAGGGGTGGTTTGGGATTCAGCCAACATACTTGGAAAATCTGTAATCCACAAGTTAAGGTTTCAGAATTTGACTCTCTAATACCGTGATTTAATCAAGTTTTTTTTTCACTTTATATATTCCCTTAAAGTAAAACAAGAAGTTAAGGCTAAAAATCTTCTCAATATCATAAATAAATACAATCTGATAGCATGAAAACTTGTAGCTGTATAATTGATCTATTTGTTTAATCAGTTTTTTTTTTTTTTTTAACTTATTTTACTTATGTCTTACATATATATGTACATTTTCATGTTACCCAAATGTCTACAATAAAATGTTACATTATACTACCGGTACATTGTTTTATTATTACATTATATAACCATGTCATATAATGTAAATATTATGTTAAAATAAATAACATAAATATTTATATTATTGTTATTATGAGAATATAAATCTGGAAACCTTCATAATAATAGTTTACATTCAATGTTAGATGAATATGTTATTTATGTTAGAAATAAAGTTATAAAAGTATTCATTTATAATAATAACTAAATAGTAACTAATGTTACTCTGCCTCCTATGCATTTGCTTGTAAAATAATATTCACATCAATCCTATTTTCACCTTATAAGAGTAGGCCGTTCGTTTTGTGCAGATTTTTTTATATTTAAAAGAAAAATAAATAAATAAAATCATGTGATCAATGAATGTGAAACATAAGAATAAAGATATGACACCGTAAAACAGTCGTAGAACTCAGATTTATTAAGTTAAATGTACAAAAGATGGATTACTTGATACATTTCATGTTTCAAGGCTTTGTCATCTCAAACAAATCAAGCTCTGTCTCAATCAAAAGCCTTCCAGTCTTTTTATATCGCCTGCCAATTCTCAGACATTCCTACACATTCTAGTTGATCTTTTTTTCTACTTGCAGTACAGTCTGCTGTATAACTCAGACTCTACTCATCAAATAGATCTGTTTATAATGCATATAAAAGTGCAGAACAATATATGTACAGAATAAGTGAACTTCAGTGAACCCTGGATGTGCTCTTAACAGAGCGACAGGGAGGCTCTTGGCTTTGGCAGTGAGGGTCTTTGTTTTTAAAGAGAAACTGATAAGGCACTAATAAGGGTTAAAGACATTTGATCGCTCCTTAAGTGCCGCTGTATCATAGCTGCATCTGAGTTTTCAGCTAAAGAAAACTCTTCAGTTCTGTGGGGGGGTCACACACGCTCTGTTTGATTAGAGCTAAAGGAAAGCGCGTCTGGATTGTGGACTGAACTTGCAAACCAAATCAGAAATTCAATCTGCTTTCCTTAATGCAGGGTTCTTATTAACAGTCTGGTTTAAGTGTTTCCAAGGTCTCAATCTGGAAAAGTATGGGAAAATGTTCCCATTTCTAGATTTTATTCCCTGTTCCGCTGTCTAAAAGTAATTTATACATTTATCCTTTCATCCATCAATCAATAAGATCTATTATCTCCTTTATCCATCTCACCTGCCCATTTTCTTTCCATCTGAACATCCACCCATCCATTTAACTTTCCAGCCATCCACACACCTTTTCATCCATTCCACTGTTCATCTAACCATTCATCCATCCCATTGCAGAAAGTTCAAAGTGAACTGTTAAATTCATACTTTGCTTTTAAACATAGGTTCAATAGGACCAAGAGATCCAGAATGTGAGCCTGGAAAAGTCCAAAACTGTTATGGAACCCTGTGGACATTTAAAACACCACAGTAACGTCAATGCATCTGGTTCAATCTGTGCAGTCCAAAGTGCACAAAGCTGCCATAACGGAGAAAAAGGCTTCAGGGCTTTGAGGTGAACAAAAATAAAACAATTGGCTGTGACTAATACTGCATGTTCTGCAAATCTTCTTTGGCCAATGAAAAAATGGAACAAGGCTCACCTGACGGTGAGATGGAATGATGATATCTGACTCAGACAGCAGTGCTGTTATTGCTTCAAAGACATTGCACACAGATGCAAATGTTGTTGTCGAAATTCAACATAACAAAAAAATAGAAAAATATCTCCTCAGCTGATTATCTCCAACATGTAAATGTTTGAATACATGACATCAAAGTGCAACATTTTTTTTTTTAAATCCTTCTAAATTGGGAGTTTGGAGTGCTAATAAAGAAAGGAAAGGCAGTTAGAAAAAAAAAAAGACATTCATACTTACAAATTGCTTTTGTAAGGCCTTGACAAAAATGCATTACTTTTGTCCAAAAGGTGACTGTAGAAATCGGATCAAAAATGACCGTTCATGTGGTATAAAAAATATTTTTCCATCTTAAATTCACTCAGCAGTTTTAAGCTGATGAGTAAGTTACAGTACTATCAGGTGTGAGCTGCATCACCATTAAGTCACAGTGTCAACTTAACGTGGATACGCTGAAATGAGACGATAAACGGGCTTGGAGAGACCGTCTCTTTGCTCCACGTTTGGACACTTTTCCTTTTCTCTCCGTAAAGATTGTTGACCCCGATCCTTTGAGACCTCAAAGTGCCATCTTAGCGGGCCCCTTCTGAGACATCAGCTATGGACACCTGAGGTCCACCCGCAGTCAGCTTTGCCTTACGGCATACAGTCTGTGTTGAGCAGGGTTCTGAGAACTGAAGGAGGCATAGGACAGGGAAGATGGAGTGTTTCTGAACCCTGGAACCGGGTAACGCGAAGAAGGGGAGGACCCAGGACCATATAGACCATGTAGGTGGGCAGGGAGGTTTGGGGGGGGGGGGCTGGTGGAGACTGGTGGAGCTTCATCAGAAGCTACCCTGGACAAACGGGTGGCTGAGCAGAACATCTGCTGTTGGGCGCCACTTCTCCTCCACAAACACCTCCCGCAGGAAGTCCCTACAAGATTCGGACACGCCCTCTGGCAGCATGGGCTTGGTGGGCTGGGTGGCGATCTTAAAAATGGCGGCCATGGCCTCGTACTCGGCCCAGGGAGGTTTCTGAGTCAGCATTTCAACAACAGTGCAGGCGACGCTCCTGAAGAAGAGCAACACAGGAAAATGGATTAGTCATTAATTTACCAGAATACATTAAATCAAAGTATAAGTTTTGACTAAGACATTATTATTATATTTCAATTCAAATAAGCTTCACTGTCTTGCATAGTTTTTCACAGTCTTTCCAAAGCATTAATTGGACTTCAGCTCATCTATTAGCTTAACGTACTCTTAAATGACTCTGGACAGAATTTTAGTCACATTAGAAACTTCCTAACCAATCAAAGACCACAAGTCCCAGCTTTTTAAGAAATTAACTTTAATTATTAGGGCTTTTAGATCACAGCCTCATATTTCAAAAGTATTGCTTTTTGGTAAACTTTTCAACATTTGTGTATTTTACTGGCATGGTAAGTATCGCAGAACAGTGCATATTTCAGCGTAATGGAAAATGATTTACTGCAGGAATCAGTTGTGAGGTTTTAAAGCAGCATGAAACAAAATAAATAACAATTATATCATGGGGAGGCTTTTCTTTAGCCAGAACAAAAAGCTGCTATCTGATCAGGACTGATTAGAAGATGGAAAGAGTAAGAAGAGTCGCAGGCTATGCCCAAACATCCGCCCTAACCCCTAAATCCCTCAATCACAATATATAATGAACTTGGTTAACTGACCGTTCGGACAGATAATCACTACTGTTCCCTCACCATCGGTCACGTGACTCCGCCTCCCTGCCTGCACCATCCTTGTTACGTGTCGCCGCTGTCAGGTTGCGAAAGTCTATGGCGACAGTGGGCCACTGTGACAAAATCCCATAATGCTTTCCAAGGAGAGCTATCGCAAAGTATTCCCGGATATAGCTGCTTTTCTAGTGACTATGGATTATCACTACCTTTAAGGTGCATTCTGGGAGATTTTGAGTCCACCACTTTTTCATCCACTAGATGTTCAGACACTCATTTAAAACGGCGTAACCACTATAATACTGCCCTATATAGTGATTAGGGAGGACATTCGGACACAGCCACAACCTCTTTTTCAAGTTAAAACAAATTCAGTATAAACCTGCCAGGAGTGTGAAAGTGGCTTGTTGTTTTTCACGTTTGGGCTCACATTCAAACCAGAAAAGCCCGCTAAAGCGTACTTTCCAAAAATCATGATTTTGCTCCTTCTTACGTCATTCTTTGAGGGGCGCTAACATTACCGGAAATGCTGTCACTGTTGCCGTCTCTTTTGCACCAAAAGGGGAAATTCAAACAATCAGGGACTACGTCTAAATGTCTGCCCTAACCACTATATAGGGCACTATATAGTGATTAAGGGATTTAGAGGTTAGGGCGGACATTCAGACACAGCCAGGGGCTCCACTGCAGGCAGTCAGTAAGTGTCGTTGCCTGTGTTACTGTTTTACCTATTTTGTAAAAGTCCAGGAATAATGATAAATGACCATTGGAAAACTGCTAATGTTGCTAGCGCTATACCATCCACATAAACTGACATACACACAAGTGAAATTCATGTGTGCCCTCATGAAAGAAAAGGTCCCGAAAAGGAGTCAGACTGAGCCCTAGTTAATTTTTTTTCTCCTTAAAATTATTAAACAATATTTAAAGACAATTTTAGAATGATTGAATATGTAAAATACTAGGCTTAGACACTTAAAATAAAAAAATAAGAATAAAGAAACATCTTAGAGGAAGCAAAGAACAAAGAGACAGGTGTGGAGCAAAAGTATTTTCATTTCTTAGCATTCAACCAGACCAAAAGGAGAGTCTGAAAAATGAAGTTCTCAAACATTCACCAATTTGACTGATGCCGAGCTGTACTGCAAAGAATGGACAAAAATGGAAGTTCTTAGATGTGCAAACTTTACAGATACTAACCCCCCCAAAAAGGTAATTTCCACCTTAAAAACATGTGCTGCGTTGATCCACCATATGAAATAGTTCTAAAACAAACTTAAGTTAGGGGTTGTAATGTGACAAAAAAAAGACCCTACATTGATTTAGGCTAAATATCAAAAATACCAAAAACAAGATTAGCAGAAAGCAGTATTTTAATTACCAAAACATTATAAAAGCAGTCACCTCACATTAGATGATGCATCTCTTTTAAAAATCTGTGCTGCAAAAATCTAATTTTTTTCTTGATGCAACAATATGAATCTCTTTGTATCGGCACATTTAAGAGTAAAGGAACAATTTATTTATTTATTTATTATTATTATTTTTTTTTAGAATGATGTGATGCAAAATGCTCCTCTAACAACCAAGGATGAGACATTGTCTGCTTTCTAAAGACAGCCTCTGATCTAAAGCTCTTTCTGTCCTGTTTTTAGCAGGTTCTCACACAGTAATGTCAGACAGCGACATTACAGATATTCTTTCATATATACATCCAAATACATATGAGGCTGAAGTTTGAAAAACCTATATAAGCAGTACAGAAATGTCAACAACAAATAAAGCTTAGGAAAAAAAGGTTAAATTGAGAGCTTGTTATTTTAAAACTCTACTTTACATACAGGCATTTTAAGCTCTCATAGACACATTGAAAACATATAGTTCAACTGTTAAGAGTCAAATATCCCAAGTAATACTGATCCCACAGAGTCCTAACTTCGACTTTTATAATGATCTTTATTAGAAAACTGTAAAAGTAAAAATTTAAGGTAATTAAAAAACAACTTATAACCTTTAAGCAACCTTTAAACTGCTAACAGCTGTAACCAGTCAACGCCTATAGACAGCATGCAGTTTCACTGCCTAACTAGGTTATAACATATCCCTGGTGTCATTCCTTGTTATCCTTACCAGACATCAGCTTTCCGGCCGTATCCCTCCCCATTTATGACCTCGGGGCTCATCCAGTAGGGGGTGCCAGTGACGGACTTGATTCCTGTTCCAGACATGCAGATGGTTTGGATCCGTTTGCTGGCTCCGAAGTCTCCGAGCTTCACGTTCCCTGAGGAGTCTCTTAGGATGTTAGCACCTGATGAGACGGAACAAAACGAGCTCAGAGTTTTCCCAGGGAAAGTTAATTTACCCACTGTAATCAATTAAGGTCCACTTCAAGAGCTCAACTAATCTGGGATGCAGCAATATTTGGAATTAACTATTAAAATGCCGACTGAGATCTTGATGCTGTCCTTATCTGCATGCTCCTTTCCCTTTCGCTCCCTGATTGACTTAAACTAAGACAAGTCGACTTGTCGAGAAGTCGACTAAGACTTCTGTCCTCCATCTGTAGTCATTTTCCAACATGTCTGTCCCGTTTCCTTTGGGCACGCCACATATTTGATCAGTGACTAATGTTCGCCACTTGCTTCTCACCCTCCACACCCAAAGAACAAAATCAATAGCTGCAGAGGACTAACACTAAGACTTCCAGCACATATCTGATTACTCAGGTGAACCCACTTGTTTGCCTTTTTAGGAACATTAATGTCACAGATAAAAGTCTCCGCTATGGTGAGCTACATGCAATTTAATGCTGCAGAAAATGCTGCTCCCTGTGTGGTGAAGTGAAGCCATATATTAGAGCAGCGGAGAGTTTTCAAGTGGAAAAATCCCACCCACGTGCACTGTCATGGAGCCTGGCTGCATCCCAGGTGACAAACTAGCCTTTTCTTTTTTTTCTTCTTTCCCTTACTGACACCACCAGACGGGATGTTTCCCTCTTTGGCTGCTGCACTTTAATGAAACAGCGACTCCCAAAGCTGCGGGCAGAAACGTCTGCAGCCTTTCTGTCTGCTGTGGAGCATTTTTTCATACCGGCCAGTTTCACCAGCATGAAGCCTCAGGGGAGGCACTGAAATAGCACCTTTTTCCAGCCTCTTTCTGATTTGGTAAACATTGAGAAAATGAAATGGAAAAATTGTGTCCACAAACTTTACAAGTCATTCATAAACTTCTTCACATTTGATATTTCAAACTTTAAGGTATTTTATTGGAACTTCTTCAGACAAACCCACACCAAGTGGAGAAAGTTTGAGAAGTCAAAGGAACATAATGCAGGGGTTTTCCAAATAAAAATCTGGAAAGAGTGTCCTTCATTTGTTTTTTGATTAAACCGCTTTTCACTGCCATCACAGCTCCAGCCTTTTCAGGTATGTGTCTATTAGCGCTGCACATCTATAAACTAGATGATTCTTTACTGGATTCTGGTCAAGACGTGGCTATTTTTAAACTATTTTTAAATATTTTCACTAAAGTTCTGGTTACGTCTTATAGTTTACCATCCTTTTGGAGGGTGAACCTCCTCCACAGACTCTGCAGGTATTCCTTCCTGTGTTTCCCACTATTTTTCCCTACCCAGCTCACCTTTCTATATCAAAAAACATCCCCACGGTGTAATACTGCCTTAACCATGTTTCACAGTAAGGAAGGTACTGTGGTTGACAGGTGCAAATGTAAATGACGTAATAAGCAGCAAAGACTTGTGATCTAAAGTCTAAAACACGCAAGCACAAAAAAAAACCAATGTAAGAGAAAAATACAGCAAACAGAAACCAGCTGCAAACGAGCAGCTGCTTTGTTTATGGTTGCAGCATTTTTGCTTTTGCATTTGTTTTGTTGATTGTAGGTTCTTGCTTCTATTTTTTAGTGAATCCATCATTTTTTTTTTTTTTTTTGTAGCGTTTTTTTTCTGCTTTTATATTTTGTCTCTGCTTTATCTTTTTTTTGCAGCTCCTTTTTTCGTTTACTGTGCGTTTGCACCTGTTGGCCAAGGACGCCAGGACACTGTTTACGGTGACGCACTGTGTTCTGCCATACATACGGTGTACCTTGTCGGCTAAGACATCTGCTACTGCCCCCTCTTCCACATCAGGATTCTAACCAGCAAATTTTACCAATTAATTAAGCCAAAACTCAAAATTTTATTGAGCAAAATGGCCACAGAAACTGTTTTCAAACGCATACAGTTGTGCTTGAAATTTTACATACCCTTCCTTTAAAGACAATATATATACTAGTGTTGCGCCTATGCCATTTTTTGGCCTTCGATACCGATACCCGGCCGATACCAATGCCATATCGATACCATCTGTTCGAAATTAATGTATGTGTGTATATATGAAGAACTGCAAAATACTTGGATGTGAAATAATTGCCATCATGGCTTTGTCAAGCTACTGCCTACCTTTGTGAAGGAAAAAGACTAATACAAAGTTAATCCAGTAGAAATTTTTATTGCCTACCTGGAATGGGTGACAGTAGTTGAATAAACTTTTGTGTGTGTATATATATATATATATATATATATATATATATA